GGAGGAAGACTTTTCAGAAGGAGAACGTAATTAATAAAGAAGCTTTCAGTGGTAAAAAGAATAAGCCACCTGTCAAGGAAGATAGTGAGAAACAAATGCCCAAAGGGGGAAGGGCAGAGGAAGCCCAGTTGAAGGCCCCACAACATAATCGCCCCATCGTTGTTGACAAGAATGAAAGAAACGGGGCACTGTTGGGCCCCAAAGAAAAAAGAATCTGAGTGATAGAAAAATGAAGGTCCAAGCTCAGAATAGTAACTAAAGTGGTGAGGAACAAGGCGCAGTACAGATAGAAGCGGGGAAAGTCATCGAACCAGCTAAAGCTCTTAACAATAATTCGTCAAAGAATGGTGCGGGGAACCGATCCCCTTCGACTCATCAATGAGAATCCTTAGCTATAACTGCCACGGGTTGGGGAAGAAGCGTGCAGTTAAATCACTCGATTCACTTCTGAAACGAGTTTCCCCACAACTAGTCTTTTTAATGGAGACTAAACAAATGAAGGAAGAAAACGTAGTTACGAGGTGAGAATTGGGGTTTGAGGAAGGAGATAGTTGGTCTACTGATCGTTCTCGTGGAGGACGGGCGGGTGGAATTAGCTTATGGTGGCAGGAGGGTTTAAATGCCACTATTATGTCAATTTCTTTTAACCATGTTGATGCAAAGATTATAGAAGAGAATGGGCTACTTGGCAGTTCTCTGGCGTATATGGCTGGCTGGAAAATCATGAAAAGTATAGAACCTGGGAGCTGATCAATCGATTGGCACAACAATGGTCGGGAGCTTGGCTTTGTTGTGGAGATTTCAATCAGGTGCTTGTACCAGCTGAAAAATCGGGTGGGAGAGCAGTGACGGACCAGGAGATGTGCGATTTTCAAGCCTGTCTTTCTGATGCTGAATTACATGACTTGGGGTTTAAAGGGTGGCAATTTACCTGGGAGAATAGACGTGTTGGCGGTAACTTTATTCAAGAGAGGCTAGACCGTTTTACTGCTACAGAAGAGTGGAAATCTCTATTCACTAAGGCGAAAGTAACTCATCTTGCTAAGGACCGTTCGAATCATCGTCCAATCTTATGTGATACGATGGGGGAGGAGGATGAGGAGCCCCGATGGGGATGGGCCTTTCGTTTCGATCCCTTTTGGACGAGATATGAGGACTGCCGAAAAACAGTAGAAGAGGCATGGTCTCGGCCGGGCCAAGAGGACTGGTTAACAAAACTGATTTTTTGTAGGTCTCAGCTAGAGTCTTGGAGTCGTCGAGCTTTCCCAAACTTCCAAAAGCAAAATAATTGAATTCGACGAGCCCTGGAAATGGTGGGAAGGTTGAACCGAACCCCGACAACGAGGGACCAGATTATGCAATTAGAGAAGGAGTTGGACGAGGTAGAGAGCAATGAAGAAGCTTATTGGAAGCAGCGATCGAGGGCTGACTGGTTAAAGGGAGGTGATCAGAACACAAACTTTTTTCATAGAAAAGCTTCAGCACGGCGCCGCCGCAACATGATCAAGAAGTTGATGAACAATGATGGGAGCTGGGCGGTGGGACAGGAACAACTGTTCCAATGTTTAACTAACTACTTTGGTTGCTTGTTTACTGCAGGAGAGGAGCCGTCTGTCACTTTAGTGCTGAACTCAGTCTCGAGCTCGGTAACTCCTGCGCAGAATGCTGCGCTTGATCGGCCATTTGACGAACAGGAAGTGATCACAGCTCTTAAACAAATGGGAAAGCGTAAGGCACCGGGAGCTGAGGGTTTGTCAGTATTGTTCTTCAAAAAGTATTGGAACATCATAGGTAACGATGTTACGGGAATGGTGCTCAAAATTTTGGAGACCGCAGAGATACCAGATCAGCTCAATCACACTCTTTTGCCCTTATTCCGAAGGTGAAGAATCCCACCTCGCCAAAGGAATTCAGGCCGATAAGTTTGTGTAATGTCATCTACAAACTGGTGGCGAAAGTGTTGGCCAATAAATTGAAGTTAGTACTGGACCAGGTGATCTCCCCAGAGTAGAGCGTTTTCATCCCTGGAAGATTTATAACGGATAATATCATTGCCGCTTTTGAATGTTTCCACACCACGAAAAAGAAAAAGAAAAGTGGCGGCTAGGGTCTATTTGCTGCAAAGATTGACATGGCGAAAGCTTACGACAGGGTGGAATGGAGTTTCCTGGAAAGGATGATGAGCCGGATGGGGTTCTCAGAAAAATGGAGTAGATTGGTAATGATGTGTGTAACGACGGTTTCATACTCTGTCTTGGTCAATGGACATCAATCTTCGAGTTTTAAGCCAAGCCGGGGATTGAGACAGAGAGATCCCTATACTTGTTCCTCCTGTGCGCTGAAGGCCTGTCTGCATACACAAGGGCGGCGGCAGAAAAGAAACAGATTCATGGCATCCAGCCAACTCGGTGAGGTCCAACAGTACCCCATATGTTTTTTGCTGATGATTGTGTTTTCTTTGGTAGGGCGAATGAACAGGAGAGTTTGGCATTGAAAGTGATTTTAAAGGCATATGAGAGGGAATCCGGTCATATGGTAAACTTTCATAAGTCAACAGTTTCCTTCAGTGGCAATGTTAACATGCACAAGAAGTTGTTGGTGGCAGGTACCCTGGGAATGCAACTGGTCGAGAAGCATGAGAAATATTTAGGTTTACCAACAGTTGTGGGAAGGTCGAAGAAAGAAATATTTCAGGGGATAAAGGAGCGGGTGAGGAAAAAGATGAAAGGGTGGAAGGAGAGGATCCTTTCGATAGCAGGAAGGGAAACTCTCATAAAAGTTGTGGCCCAGGCACAGTTTACTTATGCAATGTCAGTATTCCGCGTTCCTAATAACGTTCTTGATGAAGTCCATAGCATGATCCTGAACTTTTACTGGGGGCAGAGAGGCACTGAACGACGGATCCATTGGGTAAGCAGAGAAGGGATGTCGACATCGAAGGAAGAGGGAGGCCTGGGATTCCGTGATTTGGTTGGTTTTAACACTGCCTTGCTAGCCAAACAGCTGTGGCGGCTTCATCAACGAGAAGGATCCCTCATTGCTCGCATCTTCCGGGCGAAATATCATAAGAAGGAGTCGATCCTGGATGCTCGACTTGGCCACCGTCCCAGCTTTATTTGGAGGAGCCTAATCAGTGCGCAAGAGTTTCTAAATGAAGGGTTACGATGGTGAATAGGTAATGGTTCCGGTGTGAGGATTTGGGGAGACAAATGGCTCCCTACGGAGTCGGCCAGCTATATTGATTCAGCGCCGAGAGGTCTGCCAGTGGATGCCACTGTTAGGGAGCTGATTTGTGAAGAGGAAGAGAGATGGGATGACAACCTGCTGGAGAGATGTTTCTCTACAACGAACGCAAACCTTATTCGCCAAATCCCCCTCCGTGATCTAGGGGAGAGGGATCGACTGATCTGGGCAGGGAGTAAGAACGGGGATTTCACGGTCAGAGAAGGCTATAGGAAATGGGCGCAAACTAGAATCTTGAATGGGGAGTGGCCTCGGGTCGGAGAAGAGGAAGTTTGGAAGAAAGTGTGGTCGATCACAGTCCCGGCGAAGGTCAAGCATTTCCTGTGGAAATTTGCTAGGGATATCCTCCCTAGGGAGACCACCTTAGTGTGAAGAGTACGAGAAGAGGGGATAAGTGCGCTTTCTGCAACGAAAGAGAAACTCAACTCCACTTTTTCTTCGACTGCCAATGGACGTCAAGACTGTGGAGACAATCGCCTCTCGCTCCTTGTTTCTCTATTCCAAACGGTGGATCATGCTATGAGTGGCTCAAGAATGTGAAAATCTCGATGGCTGACTAAACAGTAGGGGAATGGGTGGCTCTGCTATGGTTCTTGTGGAAGGAGAGGAACGCTCACATGTTCAATGGGAAAAAACTTGATGAAACGGAAATCATTCCCCGTGTACGGGCTTTTCTGTCGGATTATAAGCAGCACCAACAACAGAAGAGGGACGAAGTGCTGGTCGAAGGAGGTGGGAAGTGGATGAAGCCTAACTTTGGGATGATAAAGGTTAACACGGATGCTAGCATTATGGAGGGGGTCGGTGCAGGATTGGGAGCAGTGGCTAGAGATGCTGACGGGAAGTTTGTCTTTGCGGCGGCGAAACGAGTGTCGGGTGTCCGGTCGGTTGAGATGGCAAAAGCACTAGCTGCGGAATTCGGCCTTCAGCTTGCTCTTCAACTACAGGTCGGGACCCCGATCCTCGAGTTGGATTGCTTGAACCTCATGAGCACTCTCCATGACGTGCATGACACACAAACAGAGCTGGGCGTAATTTGCCGCAATATACGTCGTCTATTGGAGCAAATGGGAAATGGAAGTTGGAGGCACTGTCCCCGGACAGCAAATGAAGTAGCGCATTTGTTGGCGCATGAGGAGACAAATTGGAATGAAAGAATGGTATGGCTAGAGAGACCTCCTGCTTTTGTTAATGATCAACTAAAGCGGGACTCTGTATCGGTCCAGATTCATTAATAAAAGTCCCCTCCAGATTTCTATAAAAAAATGTTTTTTTTTTGCAGGGACACGTCTGATTGGAAATTTAGAGGCTTTGTATCATTTGACATGTGGCCCTAATCATCTTCCTTGGCTTTTTATATTATTTAATAATATTTTTTTAATAAATTTTTAGGGGAAATTTTGAGGGTCACATTATTAATTTTTGAACAGGGCCTCCAAATATTTTGGGTTGGTCTTGCCGAGAGTTTATTGAGATTCTTCAGACATGGGTCGTGCTCCTGATCAGAGGCGGAGCTACATGTATTGTAGCTAGGGTGGGCCCCGACCCCTAGATTCTTCGGGATATTTAGTACAAATTTTATAAGTAGAACTTGTTCTATAAATTGTGTCATGTAATAGTTATGTGATCTAATGGTAGATAAGATTAACTTATGTATAAAAGCACACATGTTTGATCCACATTGATCTCGAAATCCTGATTTTAAATTATTTTCGGCCTCCCGGTTTTAAAATCTGGCTCTCCCCCTGATGGGTGCTGCCAAGAACTTTCTCTATAATCTTGAGTGAGGCAAGAGGAAACAACAATGTTGGAATTTGCATAATATGACTTATTTTACATTTATTCATATCGTCCAGTCGACGTGAAGCACCGCGAACGGACTTATCTAGTTGTTACTACTTGCAAAGAGCGAAAGTAATCAAATTACAAACACACACATAAATTTCACTTATTACTACTTGCAAAGTGCAGCGAGAACACGACGAGGCGGGGTGAAATGCTTGCGTCCGTGAAGAACAGCCAAATTGTCTATAAACAGAACGTCCCCCTTCTGCCAAGGAATCGCAACGCTTTCCTCCTCCATGATGTGCAAACAATGGTACACGGCATCGTCTGGCAAAGCGTCCCCGCTCCCAAACGTGACCTCGTCCCCAAAAGCTGTATAACTCGTCACCATCCCGTTGAACCAAATCTTTCGATCCCTCGACTTGTCATGTTTGATTGGTTGGTTGGGACCGATTACTCTTCTCATTGACCCATCTCCTATCCACTCTAGCTTTACTCCTAGCTCTGCAGCTCTGCTTGTAGCAATAAGGAACCAGAACCATTGCAAATGTTCCAAGTTTTGTTTATAATCCATGTCAATCCTGGAGAAGGTGAAAGGGAAGCGGTGAAGGGATAGCAGAGAAAACACAAACCTCTGCTCCGCAACAAGTTTATCGTCGGTGGAAAACATTGACTTCCAGCCGCGACCGATTGCAGATGAAGGGTCGTCTTCTTCCCCCATCACTCTCCTGGAAACCATCCCTTCCTTTTCCAGCCGCTCTACGAAATCCGGGTACTTGTCTCTCATCCTCTCGTACACCACATGGCTCAACACCAACGGGGTCTCGCCGCCGCTGCCCGGCGCCACCTCGCAGAAGAAGAACAACTTCTTTGGATACTCCGCCGCCTGAAAATTCAAATTCACCCCAGGTAAATTTTTAGTTTTGGATGACTCGAAAATTGACTGAATCAATTGAATTATGCTAATTTCTGTTGGCAGACATAAGTCATCTCGTGGTGGAAGGGGATCTTGCGATCGGGCGGGGAATCATTGGCGGTGTAGACGCGACCCACGACGTTAGTCCGGGAGGCCGTTCCGCCGAGGTAAGGCTGATCGGTGTACCCGAAGGATTCCACGACTTGATCGAATTCGGCAGCGCTGGAGATAGGGAATCCCCTGAATAGGATTGCCCCTGTTTTGTGGAGCAGCGATTCCAGATGCGGCTTCTGGGATTTTATGGCCGAGGTGAAGTCGGCGAGAGATGGCGGCGAGAGCGCTGAATTTGGGCCGAGGACGGCGGGGAACGGCGGGGAATCAGTGAGATGTTTCTGATTTGGGACTTCGATTTCCTGGAAAAGGCTCGCCGCCATTTCTGATTTCCAGATGAGTTCTTTGTCGGTATGTCCAGAGTCAAACACTCAACACACTACTACTCGATCGAGACGAGAGAGAGAGAGAGAGAGAGACCTAGGTAGAGAGCCATTTGCACATTTGGGCCGAGATTTGTTCTGACATTCTCTCAACTACAATAAGATCCATAAGGCCCAAGTACAGCTGTCCCGGCCCAAGGATAAAATTTCAATAACAACACATAAACCCATCATATATATCCATCTAATTGTTAGTGTTGTGGTATATGATTCACGATTGAACCTCTCTCAACAACTCGAGTTATTGGGACCAAGTAGTTCTTGACATGGTATCAGAGCCTTCTGTGACCAAGAGGTCTTGTGTTCGATTCCCGGTGACCCCCATTTGTTAAGCACATGGTATTCTTGTCTTCAGACCTGTGCAAACTTCAAGCCCTTGTGAGTGGCTTTCGTTTGAGGGGGCGTGTTAGTGTTGTGGTATATGATCCACGATTGAACCTCTCTCAACAACTCGAGTTATTGGGACCAACTGGTTCATGACACTAATTTCCCACCAATCAATCATCAATATTAACAACACTTCTTGAGGTCCTATTCTATACATAAAATAAAATGGTCATGCAAAACTTCTATAGAGTACTAGTCACGGGCCCGGCCAGTTGGCCGGATTTGCCAATCTCGTAAACAATTGTAACAATTTGTATGCGAGATATGCGCTTCTTTGGTTGTATGAGAAATTATAACTTATTCAAGTACGTCGAAACATTCAAATTGTTTGGTAGTATAAGATAATACAAATTATTAAAATAATTCAACCATTCAAAAGGAGCAACATAATAGTGCTTTCCGACACTCTAACCGACTAATTGACTGAAATGCTTTTATGAAAAATGAAAGACAAACCCCATGAAAGAGAAATGACTCCTAAAAACATTTTCAAAACACCCTTCTATCTACTCCTCACCGTTATAGATTTCGTACTACATGTTTTCTTTTTTACTTGTTCGCATTGCCTCCTTCATGAGCAACATCATCAACTCCACCAGTAGTAATATCTTTGTCTCCAATAGTGATACATTAATCTCCATTATCAATTGCCTCTTGCTTCTTCTCTTGCATTTCAATTCTCTCTTCCTTTTTCTCCTGCTTTCTTTGGGCACACAAATATATTGGTAAAATATTTAGTTATTTACAAATACACATAATAATTTCATTATTGTTCTCTTGCATTAGTATTATGAATTTAAATTATTGACATTCCAAAGCACAACATATGATGTGGTTTTATCGAATCGTAAGTCTTTAATATATACTGGAGTAAAAGTTGTAGCGGGATACAATTGCTTGCATGTTAATACGATATGAACCAAAGTTCCACCGGAATTTTAAGATATAAATGACATGCTTTTGTGTATAAATTAAAGAATATGGCAAAGTGTAATTTATGCATGGATTAAAAATCAAAGGCATATATTTCTGAAGGTATTAAAATCGAAGGCTTATACACTTGATTATACAACCAAGTATACAATTGCATGCATGCTAGTGAAAAAAAAAAGTTCCACTTGAGTTTTAAGTTATATAATTAAATGCATGTCTCTAGATATTAAAAAATACAACTAAGTATCATTGCATGGTTTAGAAATTGATAGGTTTAAAAACTAAAGGTATATACACAGTACACTTGAAAATATTACTTATAATTTACCCTTGATAGCTGTTTAATTAGTGGATAATAGAAAAAATTAATTGCATAACAAAATCAATATATGTGAAGTTTGACATGGTATGCATGTTAATTAAATAATAATAATAAGATGATGCATGTTCCAAATATACTCTAAATCCAACAGAGAGTACCACAATCAAAACAATTACAATTTATGATAAAAAAATAAATTTCAATTTTTTGGAAAGTAAATGAAATATGAACATCATAGCAAATCAAATTGCAATAGGAAATTGTCCCTCTAACGCATGTGAAATCCAAACTTTCGTGATAAGAAGATACTTTAATTTGAGGTAGGAAGACCTTTTTCATTAATATGAGTACCTATTAGAATCTCCACTTTAATAAACCATGTGTATATATAGTCTCTTGATAATAATCATTGTGTCATTGCAAAGATATTTACTTTGATCCATATTTCTCAATAAAATTTAAGGGCATCCACCTTTCGGCCTAATGGAATGGTCTTGGAAATTACTAATCTTCAATGTATTAGGAAACTCCACATAATAATCTACCTTTATATGATGTTGGTACCAGACACCGGGATCAACCTCAATTGAATCTGAATTATGGATCAAACTTCATCTCTTAGAAATCTTTACATCACGAAATTCTTTATTTTTTATACTAATTCATAATGTGGAGCTAATATAACACGATGAACCAAATAGGTTAATTCACTATAATTCAAATGGAGATCACCATACACATGATTCACAATATCAACAATGTCATCTCCTTCACATGGAATACTCAAAGAAGCTGGAGTTGAGATCATTAACTCTGCAAAAATATTGGATCCCTCTCCATCACTTATATGAAAAATCCATTTGCTGAATTCTTCAATATGAATAGCTTAGTCAAACCCGCAAGTTTTTGGGCACAATCTCATATTGTGAGAGAGATTCAAAACCTTCAATAAAGATCATAAATATGAACTATTGATAGAAGAATTTGCAATATCTGCTCGAGTTTTCTTGGTAATTACCGGTAATCTTTGTTGAAACCTCCACCAAATACAACATAAATTTCAAAAGATCATGTCCTCACTATTTAGCTGTTTCACGTGCAAAAGTTTCTGAGAATTATATCCCCTACTTTAATATTATGTTTATGAACCATAAGAGCTTCATCATAAATAATAAGCGAATAATTCAAAATTATCTCTGCTAACTCGCTTCCTTATCAATATGATATGTTGATTTTGAGTTACAGTCAATTGGAATGTGAAATCAAGAAATGAACAGTTCTACCTCAAACTATTAGCAAAGTTGCAATGCCTTACAAAGCCCATAGAGTTACAAAATTTCTGCAATAATTTATCCATCTCCATCAAGCATATATCTTTTAACTCTCTTCTTCAATTGAATATGATATCATTCACTCAATAATTTCTAAATTTTGCCATAAAAGATTGCACGTTAGACACTTGATAGTGGATAAAAATTGCGACAAACAAATTTCTTACTTTATATCCAGAACCCCGAAAGGCAACTTCTTCCAAGATGTCACTCCACTCATCATCTGGCAATAACCCAAGAACATTACATGGTTATTGAAATGAATCATAAACTACACCATTAACTGTTCTAATTTCTTCATAAGAATGACAACTTTTGACTACATGCGAAGATAAATTCTTTCTTTGTCTGATGGAGGACAATTATATAATCTTCCAATACACACTTTGTTCTTCCTCATCTACCACCTTCTCAATTATTGGTCCAAATGAAACATTGAGAGAACTCCACAAAGTATATTTGACACATGACATACACAACACTTAAGATGAACTACATCTAATATCAAACTTAAAAAATTCTTCAGCATGCTTCAACTGATGTTATATAACGACAATCTAGAAATGCTTTAATCTCATCAATATAAATAAAAGTTATGAAAGAATTTCCTTGGTTTTGGGATTGTTTTCCATTACCACCTATTAGGATGTCAGAGTCGCCATTGCTTTGTCTTCATAATTGTCAATATATATGAACAAATACTTGATAGCCCTTAAATAAAATAGTAAATTAATCGTATAACTCGAAATGTTCAATTAACGTAATAATAAAGTAAAAAAAATCTATTTAAATCTGAAAGCGTTATATATTGGCTATTTAAATTTGATTTCATCGTATTTCGATCTATATATTTCCAAAAGGTAAGTTTATGGAATTTTGGTGAACATTTTATTCTCTTGGCGTAGTGAGTTACATGTCTAAATTAATAATATGTAGAAAAATCATAATGAATAGGCACACATGCCTGAGTTACATGTCTATATTAATAATATGTAGAAAAATCATAATGAATAAGCACTCATGCCTTACACGCTCTGCAAAAGTTTCAGAAAACCACTTTCCCTAACTAAACTATAACAATACAGTAGCAAAATACTGATAATAAAATGCTCCTAATCCTAGCCATGATAATATGGTTAATCATATAGTAGCTTGATATCCTAGGAGAATATAGTAAATACTTTGTTACAATGATAATATGAAGAACAACTAATGGAAAAATGAAAAATAGTTCAGGAGAAAAAACAAACGGACAGGAGACCCATTATAATCTGTTTTGAAGTATTTACTTATGGGCATATTCAAAACCTATGGAGAGCTATTTTCGAAGAGGGAGGTTCACTTCGCCATATTTGTAACACAATGAAAATTTTGGTTGGGGTTAAACATTATATGCAGCTTTGATTAACCAACCACCCTTGATCTTGAAAAGTTAATTAATTACCTATCATATTCTTATTTTCATACCAAAATATATAGTCATCATGATACATCTATTTAACATTCAACAATTTTTAAATCCCCTTAATTGACTTACCATCCTATTCAATATTCATATGCATATTTCTCTTTTTCCCCCTCCCTGCGTTTAGCATAGCTTTAGTCTATTCATGCGTGTAACATAGCCACACCCACATGCCTAAAATTTATAATAACAATCCTAACAATAATTAGGCGGTTGCTTGGCCGCCTGCTTGGAATAATAAGTAGAGTTGTAGAAGACCTAAAGTCCCATATCCTAACAATACGCAAGGAAAAGAAGAATGGGCCTGGCCCAATTTAGTCAATAAATGCACAGGTAATTTACCAAAATCTCCTGCCGTGGATTGCGCAGAGAGCTAGGAAAGGGGAAGTAAGGGGGTTCCGGCCAGGAACCTCCATATCGTATTGTTAGAATTAGGAAATTTTAAAGGTTGATATTATCAAAGTTGAGGGAAATAGAGATTTTTGTATCCTTCGTACGTTTTATATTGCAAGTGAGCAGGTCAAGTGGCTGTTAAGAGTACTTTTCAAATTTCAACAAATTTTTAATGGAATGTTAGAGAAGGAGGGGGAGGAGAGGGAAGAAGGATTGTACGATGGGTGATGAGGGTTACATAGTTTGTGTTAATGAGAGGTGAGTTGCTAATAGTTATATGGAATGTAAATTTCATTTCAGTTATTAAAATTTTGAAATATTATTCTATTTGTATATATATATTTACAAAAATGTATAAAACGGTTCAAATAGGTTGGATCTCAATCAAATTATTGAATTTTAAATTACTTGTTTGATCCACTCAATGATTAAAACCGGTTTGACAACCTTCTAAGAGACCAACTAGGTATCGGGCCGATCTTTTAAGGATAACACTCCGGCAACAATAATAGCAACATAGCGAAAATGTATAAAACGGTTTAAATAGGTTGGATCTCAATCAAATTATTGAATTTTAAATCACTTGTTTGATCCACTCAATGATTAAAAACGGTTTGACAACCTTCTAAGAGACCAACTAGGTACCGGGCCGATCTTTTAAGGATAACACTCCGGCAACAATAATAGCAACATAGCGAAAATGTATAAAACGGTTCAAATAGGTTGGATCTCAATCAAATTATTAAATTTTAAATCACTTGTTTGATCCACTCAATGACTAAAAACGGTTTGACAACCTTCTAAGAGACCAACTAGGTACCGGGCCGATCTGATAACACTCAGGCAACAATAATAGCAACAAAGCCCAAGTTAAGTCGTCCAGCCCAGGTCCCCATAAGGCAAGAACATCCAAACAGAAGAAACATCCCGCTTCTCTCCCAAAATTCAAATTCACGACGCTCCCAATTCCGGTAAGCTGAGATCCCCAGAAATGGCGAGAAGCGAAGCTACGCCTACTAGATTAGGTCCCGTGAGGAGGCCGATGCAAGACCTACCGAACAACCTCGGCGTCCTCCGTACAGGAATCAGCGGCAAAACCGCCACCGACGGCGGCAACGTTGGAGTCCGAGTCTCCAAGTCAGAGATGAACAACAAGGTCCCACGGCGAAGTGCTACTGTAGTTGAAGCAAGGAAAGACGACAGCGAAGACTGTCTTGATCGTCTGCTGCACGTCCATTCGGATCTCGCTTCTCTCAATCGTCAGGTAAACACGCGCTAGTTCTGGCCTTCGCTTTTTCAGATTGAAATAGTATCTCTAGGGGTTTGAACGGCGAATTTTCCCCAATCCGAGATACACCGAATGATAATTGTTAGGGTTTCCGATCTTTCCAGCGTTTACAGAGATTCGCATTCTGTAATTCAGCCATGTAACTGATGAACTTGTTGTGACGAGCATCTGAGATTGAAATCGTTCCCCAGGGGATTTGAAAGCTGAACTTGAATGGATATTGTTCAGCATTCAAGGTCTAATTTCATTTTTCTGATTCATGAACAGATTGATGAACTCGTTGCCCGAGCATTTAAGCTGAAATCTAATGGCGAAGAAGGAAGAAGAGAAATCGAATCATTTTCTCATTTCTTATCCGATACGCTTTCATCCTTCAAGGTTAGTTTTCTGATAATGAAATTGGCTAGGGATGTTTTAGGTTGAGGCAGACTCTGCTTGCACCAATTCTAAGCGGAACCACATTGTACAATGATAACAGCCATGGGTGTCAAGATTTGAGAAGGCACTTGCCACTCCACCGTTGGAGCCTGAGAATCAGCTCGAAAAGCATCCGGTAGAGGAAACTGCTTCACCTGTAACTGAAGAGAGTTTAGAAGCTGAAAGTCCAGGGGAAAGTGAGATGGACTTTTTGATCTCTCCTTCTCCTCTAGTCTCATGGCGAGCTGATTGCAACATCGACAGAACCCGGCAGCAGTTGTTTCTACTCACACCTCTTCCTATGTCGAAAACATTATCGACCAAACGACTCCAGCAGTTGCTGCCTGCAACAGCATTGGAAAAAAGCATTGCTCCGGATTCTACCGCGACAGAGCTGCTGCCATCATTTCTGGCGATTTCTGGAGATGACAATGATGATTTGCTTGAAGGTGTGAAGATAAACCCAACTCCAAGTAAGCCTTGTGGTTCTGTTCCCGCAGAAGGGAACAACAACAGCAGCAGCAGCAGCAGCAACAGTGAGAGTGGGTCAGTCTTTTCCACACCCATGATTTGGAACAAAGGCCGTCGCTCCATGTTGGTCATGACCCCATGCTTAAAGACTTCCCCTCCAAAATCTTGCCTTCTACTCGAACCCATTGCCGAGGTTCCTCATAAAACCAGTTACTTGACTCGGCAATCGACTCCATATCCTGTTGGCCTACACTCCCAAGTATGGGAATCTGAATCTTCTTCTGGAAGTGAAGCGTCCAAGGATCTCAGGGTGAGGTATCCTGAACTTTTGGGGATTCAATGGGCGGCCAAGTCAAGCATAAATGGGCAGAAAGATTTGGAGAAGTCGCCAGAGTGGTCCTTTTCACCTCTGAAAACTTGTACCCTGTTGCCGCCATCAGACCAGATTTCAGTGGCTGATGCCGAACCATCTTCAGATCAAGGTGATCAATCACCTTTTCCTTCTTCTATTAGATCTTCTCAAATTCAATGGTTCCGACGTAATTGCAATAGTTTGAGAGTTTATAGTCTTTCTTTTGGGTTCTCAGAGCTTGTAGGTAGCAGACGCTGTCAAGTGGAGATTGAGAAGACTCCCGCATGTAAATTCCCTGAAAGCACGGTGAGAAGAGGAGGTAAGAATCCCGGAGAGACCACTTTGAAGAGGGAGTTATGGACCAAGTTTGAAGCAGTCACCACTTCTGGCCTTCGACTGAATGCTTCGGCCATTGTAAGGGGCTCACGGAAAGGGTTTCTGGATATGCTTGATGAAGTTTCTTATGAAGAGCGAACCCAGAGTTGATACCAGTAAGTTGCAGACGACCAAACGAAACCAGCAGTGAATCTAGTTGGGACTTGGTTGGTTCAGTGTACTCAGATGTATCTAGTTAGGGTCTTGGTTCGATGTAGAATCATGTTGGAACAATGGAGTTCGTAACTGTCTGCATGTAACTCTACTTTTGGTTTGTTAAAAATATCTGCGATCTTAAAAATCGGTAGGTTATTTTCATGATGCCAAGGTTCATCACATAACACTTTGTTTTGATCTTTTTGATCCAGAATTGGAACACAAACAACTGGTCACAAGTATTTTAACCTGAAAGTTTTTCTTGAGATTCCACGACTTCTCCAACAAAATTTTCGTTGCCTACACATTGGTTTTCTTCTTTGTAACCAATCTTCCTACTAGATCAAGCTTTCGGATTGCTTCCATTGAGACTACATTATAAAGATCGCCTTTTCCTGTAATAGGACTAGGGTCCCCTCTTTTTCTGGGGGTTGTAGCTCTTGAGCTTAACACCTCTTATATTGTCTCTTTGATATGTCTTCCATATCGCCTTCTCGAGCACGTCAAGTGTGTGATAAAAGCTAGGGCTGTCGAAGGTTCTATTGATATATGCTTTTGAAAGTTTTCTCTCAGAGTTTTGAATCTGATCTCTCATTCGTCCTAGTCGCAGGAGGCAAACTAGGAGTGTAAACATAAATCATAATAGCATGGATCTTAGAATTAGATGATTTCACGAATCGATAATAGATCGGGTAAACCTACCTCGATCCATGACGAGAGCGGCAGCGGCGCTGAAGTAGTAATCACCGGAATTGAGTTTCTCCCTCTTGACCCCTTTAGGTTTTAGGTTTAGAGATTTCTGTGATGGCTAAGAAATTCTACGTAATGGGTTGAGAGAGGACCAATCCTAGAGCTTCTTTATATAGACCCACCATCAGGGTATATTAGGAATTTACCTATCATTAACCTAATCAATATAGGATTTACCTTATATATTAAACCATTAAATGATAATTACACTTGGGCCACAATTATTCCCTAGTCACATACGGGAATTGGGCTTACATTCTCCCACTTGGTCCATGTGTCATTATATATCACAAGATTTAATAATATACATAAGTGTGCACATCATAAGATAAATCCATAATATTTGGTTCACCATAAAGTCATAATCAAGTATGAAAGCCAGATTAGGATCATGGCGGTTCTATATCAATTTATCGACATAGTCCCTTCCATGTACCACAAAATCAGTCTCATGCTCAATACGACACATAACAAGGTAGTCATAATGGTCCAACAATAATGTCTTTACTAAAGACAAAAATCTTGTTTTGTTCACATAATGCATAATGTATATATACTGGTCATAATAAATAAAACAAGATTCATAACTTTATTCCAGAAACAAAATAAATGAGCTCAAAGTGTCAATCCATGAAACATAAAATAACTTTAGTCATGACGTCCTATAATCCCCATCCTTTCGACATGTTCAGTAAATGTCTTAGGAGGCAATCCTTTTGTTAATGGATCAGCAATCATAAGCTGTGTGCTAATATGCTCGATCGACACCCTTTGTTTCTGAACTTCTTCTTTAACGACAAAGTATTTCACCTCCATATGCTTAGCACCCTTCGAATACTTGTCATTCTTAGAGAAGAATACCGCTGCGGAATTATCACAGTAAATTTTCAGCGGCTTGGCGATAGTGTCGACAATTCCAAGTCCAGAAATAAAATTCCGCAGCCATAAACCATGATTCGTAGCTTCATAACAAGCTATGAATTCAGCTTCCATAGTGGATGTGGCAATAACAGACTGCTTCGCACTCTTCCATGAAATTGCCCCTCCGGCTAGAAGGAACAAATAGCCAAAAGTAGACTTCCTGGTGTCTACACATCCAGCATAATCTGAATCTGAATATCCAATCACCTCAAGGTGATCAGATCTCCTAAAGGTGAGCATGTGGTCTTTTATTCCCTAGTCACATACGGGAATTGGGCTTACAAGGAGCACCACTGATGTGCATTCCGTGTAGTACTAATATCTAGGGCTGGGCATACGGGCGGATCATCCGTGGGTTTGGGCCGACCCACCCACATTTGACCCGAATTTCGTTAAGTGGGTGGGTCTATGGGTGGGTGACGGGTTGCGCTGGGAGCCATCCGCCGGGTGGTGGGTGGGTTGTGGGTGGGTGCGCGGGTGATCCGCTCAACCCAACAACAAAAAGATTAAAGTCGTCGGCACTAGAGAGGGGAGAGGGGAGATGTTAGACATAAACTAGGACTGCTCCTGGAGTTTGAACCTCAAAGCCAACCTTCCAAATAGCGATCCCCTCTTCTTCCCTTTATTTTCCCCTCTAATTCTTGTGCCTAGATCACTGCTCTTTCCTTTGTGGAATTATTTTTCTTAGTTCCTTGCACCTGATAATCATCTCAATCTGTAGAAAACTCTTTCATAATAGAATTTCTATCCATTTTAAGAACTAATTAGATATTTTCGCCCTATTTCATTTTCTTGTTTCCCCAAATAACTCTCTTCGCCTATTATCATGTCAAGTTGACTCCTTTATATTATATACATTGTGATGTGGGTGAACCCACAAACCCACCCAAATCATCCACCATCCGCCCGACCCAACCCGAGAGTAAATGTGGGTGGGTGGTGAGTTAAAAATTATCAATCCGTTTAAGCGCGGGTGAGTGTGTTTTATGGTCAAAATCCACCCGACCCACCCAATACCCACCCCTACTAATATCAATATAAATCAAATTATTCCTTTATTGCACTACTCTACTCCTACTAAAGCATTTCAACCGAGCTTTCGCCACATGCAAGCGAAACAATAGCTAGCAAATGCATGATTTTGCATCATACCATCAACTAATTAATAAAGAATAGAGAAGTAAGGATAACACTTAGGGCTTGTTTGCTTGATGGATTAAATGAAGGTTTTGGGTCCCAAAATCAATTCCTCATTGACTTGGCAAATAATTCATTGCTTGCTTGTGTCATTTGGAGAGATGGACTATGTGGGGCCCACGGACTTTTGGGGTCCAAATCCGTGGGCCTCATAGACTTCCAAAACCAGCTCCATAGGTGGGATTTTGGTAAGGCTTTGAAGTCCATATAGTTTTTAACTTTCTTATCCCCACATAAATCGTTATTGCCAAGTTTAACCTCGTTCAGTCTTCTTCCTCCCAACAAAACGAGCGACAAAAAGGGAGTGGTGGCTAGGCAGTGTGAGAAAGAGTGAAAGACGGAGAACGAGTCTCAGCTCCACGAATCGAGAAGGTCTGGGGTTTGGAGAAAGACTACGACATCAAAACACCAGCAAATAATTCTCCATCCTCGATCGATTACTTCGCCGCTGCAACCCAGGTCTGTAATTGCCATATTTTTTTGGCCCTCTATTTTCTATGTCGAACCCTAGAATGCGAATGGATTGATTCTTCTCGCTCTGTTCGTGGATGTAACCTGAGGTGAGATTGATTGGCTGCATCAATGCATTGTTCTTCGGGAATGGATTGATTCTTCTCGCTCTCCCATTTTTTCTTGGTCGTGTTTCCTTAATCGAGGTTCGAAGGTGGGTGGGATTCGGGAATGCTAATCATAATGCAGAACTCCTGAGTCTTGTCCAAGGAGAGAGAGGATTCATATCGTGGTTTTGGGCCATTGATGAAGGAACAATTAGGTGTCTCTGCTGTTTATTTTGGTTTTCCAGCTCTAGTTTATGGATCAATTCCCTTTTCTAGCTTTGTGGAGAAAGAACTGAAAGTTTGGAGTCAGGCTGTTAGCCTCTGTGAAGTGTGGTGCTTGATCTTGGACTGAATTTGGTTGGGAATCCTGTTGATGATGGATCTGGGATCCTTTGCAATTGGTTTCCTTATTTCATTGACCATATATTTCACAATTAGATCTTGGTCCTGTTGATTTAATGATTTATTAAGTCGGGTGATCAGTTGATGCTAGATATGGTATCCTCTCCAATTGTTTTCCTGATTTCATTTAACATAGACTTCGCAGTTAGATATTATGTCATTATATTATGACTTTGAATGATGTAATATGAATTTGACGCAAACCAAGAACTGAAAACGGCAGGATTTAGCCGGTTCGCTTTACAACAACAATCCAGAATCAATCCACGAACATGTATTTTGTTTATATGAAGACTGTTCATGTTGTAGTCTAACTGAATGAAGGGTGCTGCTTTCAATGGATGTTATGTATGTTATTTATAAATGGTATCAAATGCTTGTATTCGAACTGGATGAAGGGTGCTGTTATTTTGTTATTTATGTTAATCATGTTGTATTCTAACTAAATGAAGACTATTTATAAGTGGCTACTGTGAATGGCTTCTTTGTTTGTAGGATGGCACGAAAAAGAAAGCAAGTCATCAACGAAGGGAAAGTAGCTGAGCCTGCTGGTGGTTACTTCTCGTGGGACGAGAAGCTCAATGCTCTGCTCATACAATGCATGGTGGAGTTAGCTCAGAGGCATCAGGTGGAGAACGGATCTTTCAAGAATGGAACTTTTTCTGAGCTTCAGTACATGATGGAGGAGAGGGCTCCTGGTTGCGGTGTCAGAGTTGAACCACACATTCGTAGAAGACACAAGTTACTCAAAAAGGACTTCCATGCTGTGCACTTGCTGCGTAATCAAAGCGGATGTGGTTGGGATGAAGTAACAAAGACACCTACACTGGATGATGATGTCTTTGAGAATATTGTGAAGGTAATTTGTCACTTTAACCCAAATTGCATCAAATATCAGTGACCATAAATATTTTAACAGTCCTTACCCATCTGTTTGTAGGTTTTCCCAAACTGCAAAAAATTTAACAGGAAGCCTTTCCCATTTTATGATGAACTACTGAAAGTGTTTGGGAAAGTTGGTCCTGCAAATGGAAGGAAAACAGTTGGTATAACTGATGATGTGAGCTCCCCCGCCATAGATTGTCCGACATTTGTTGATTTGTATGTAACTCAGACACCACACATTGTAGAGGGACATAGTGCTGAGAGATTTATGGAAGATTTGATCAACGAAGGGGTTGAGATGTCACAGAGGGCAGCTGCAACTACTTCGACGCATAAAGCAGTTCCTCCAGCAGCAGGGGCCTGTGACGGCATCAGGAAGAGGGCCAAGAAAACAGAGAATAAGACAGACGATGCAATTGCAGCTATAGCCGATGAACTCGGTGGGTTGAAGCCTATCGTATCCAAGGCACTT